AGAGTGCCCATACAACAAGAATCGTCAGATGGTGCTTCAACTAGGGCTGGGAGGGGTTGTCCTGGCCTAACGCTGGTGACTGCAACCACTGTCCCATATATGCCAGGTAAGGGTCAACAGTGCCCCCCGTAGATGGAGAAGAAGGGGTTAGGCTAAGAAAGAAGAACGTTGAGGTAGAAATGGGGTGGGTCCTGTGAGCACCACAACCAAAGAAAATAAAAATAAAAAAATAAAAAACGAAGGATGACATTCCGAGTTATGTAGGAGTTTCGCTTCAAAATAGCACAAAAAACTATGAAATTTGCCACTATAGGCGAGATGGAGCTGTTTTTTGGAAAAAAAAAAGGCAGAACTGTACCAGTCAGGGCTGGGGGGTTCCACCAAGGGGCTAGGTCCCACTTGCACGAATTAAGAGATACTGACCGTAGATAGCAAAGATCAACGGCCGAAATCTCCTAATTTGCGCAAGTGGGACCTTGCCCCAGCACAACCGGACAGGCCAAGAAGTCTGTCAATCCTTTTTTATTTTTCGAGTACCGGATCTTACTGCGTTGTCCAAGAGGACAACAATACTACAATAAAACGCTGCACAGTCACATTTCCATCCAGTGGCTGGAAGGGGGCAGGGCAAGGCAGGGAGGAAGGGAGGAAGGGAGGATGGAGGGAAGGGGTGGGGGGTTGAGGCGTTTGTTTTTTGCCAGCTGTGTAACTTCTAATGTTGTTCTTGTGGGTACGGTTGCAGATGTGTTGCATGTGCATACCACAAAGAAGAAGGAAGCAGAAGAAAGAGGAAGACGGAGAAGACGAAGGAGACCAACGCGGCAAAGGAAACAAAAAAGGAGGAGGAGACGAAAACGACGAAGAGGACAAAGACGACGACGACAACAACGAAGAATGAGAAGAAGAAGAGGACGACAGTCATTAACACTGCCAATTTCATTGAGCGATGTACTGTATGCAAGCTAGGCCATTCGAGTCGGCTCAAGACTGAAAGGGATGAGAAACTGGAACTGCGAATTAGGTAACCAGCTAACGGCTGGAACTCCCATAAAAGTTAAGTTCAAATTACTAACAAAACTCGAACTTTTTTCTAACAACAGTAAAGGACTGGGAAAAAAGTTAAAACACCTGCATCCCAATATATCAACGTGCAACCGTGCAATACGTAATAGGCTGGAAGCCTGGAAGCCCGGAAGCCTATAACTGAAAAATTATTTATAAAAAACTGGAACTTCTTTAATCAGCCATGCAAATCTAAGGCAGGGAGGGGAGTTCAAATACCAGCATTCGAAAACAGGGAACTGGAATTTGCGTAACAGGGTAACAGCCGGAAATTAGCTTAAAACTAAAACTTTTAACAGAACTGCAAATCTAGTGAAAAAAGTTCAGAGAAGTGCATTCCCGGCTCACTTTGCTGCTGTGCTGCGAGGCAACCCATAACTGGAAGTCGAACAAGGGTAGAAACCAAACCCTCAACCTAAAACACACCGAACTCGCCAATTTCCACAAAGCCGTTCGCAAACCCTCATCTTGCCACGATCACACTGACCAAACTAGTAACTTCCCAGCCCTAAAGAGGTCAGGGACGAAAAAAAAAACAATAACCAGATAAGGTGTGCCTAATAATTAGATACTGAGCAGAAGCTAAGAAAGGGCCTGAGACAGGTTGCATATAAACAAGCAAAAGATCTCTCTCTCTCTCTCTCTCTCTCTCTCTCTCTCTCTCTCTCTCTCTCTATATATATATATATATATATCTCTGTGGCTCGCTTTGCTCATGTGTTCGCATATGTATTCGCATATGTATTCGCATATGTATTAGCATCAGTGAGATGGTTCCTCAGAGACATCTTGTACAGTCAGTGTTGAGACGAATATAAACAAGCCATGTAGGAACACATGGGTTCCTGTAGGCTAGAGGGGTCAAATCTGTCATCCAGAGATAAACCACCAGCGTCAAGCGTAGATGCAGGCCCCGTGAGACGGATTTTCCCCTACAATCATCCCCTTACCTTCGAAGTTGCAAGCACTAGGCCGCCTTCCCTGGCTAACATAGTAGCTGTTAAACAGATAGGATCCATGGCTTACGGGAGTGTCCGGTACGAAGCACACTCCGGCTTCTTGGGTGGCAGCACAACTCATGTTAGTTTGCCCACACAACCAGTCGATGGCTACCAGAATAGACGCATCTGCAGTACAGTCATTAACAACACAGTACGTGTTTGGACCTCCAGTCAGAGCAAGAGTTTGATTCGGACTCTTTGCATTACCCCCCCGGTCACCAGGAACACAACTGCTTGGAGATGGAGCAGAGGCGGACCCAGGACTGGTCGGGGCCCCAGTGGAAGGAGGAGGGGTCGTAGCATTCCATCCTTTCGTCAAGTCAATTGGGTACTTGGCTGTTCCATTCAGGTAGCAAATTCCCCAGTGGTGTTCGAAGGGTCCATTGCCATCCCTGACTGGCTTTAGGTCTTCATCCAGCAACTCAAACAGGTAAACCTGCATCCACCCGTCCTCGCCCGGACGCTTGGGTGTTCCCTTCCCGCTCATCAGTTGCCCGACAAGGTAGTTGTTGAACTTCTCTCCATTCCCAACCGTCGCAATCTGGTGCCCATCCGTTGGCCATCCCACTTCTCCGACGGCTAAGTGGATCCCGTAGAAGCCTTCCTTCTCTATCGCAAAGGCAAGAGCATCCATCATCATGTCCACCATGTTTGTGTAACTCAAGTTACTGCCCGGGTCCGTGTCTATCTTGCTGCCAGGGACCCCCAGCGCAAAATCGACCATAATGTTTTTAGTGGGGTCCCTTGTCGGATAAAAGGGGTATATGTTCACCATGAACGGGGAGCCCGTTTCATTCAGGAACTGCAGCAAAGGCTTTATTGTAACGGTGTAGGATTGGTTAAATACTCCCGAGCTTGGAGGGTAGGTATTCGACAGACAATTGAAGTTGAGGGGGGTGACAACCTTGATGGTCTGGTCCAGAGCAAATTCCTGGAGTGCTTTGTGGACATTCACCATTGCGGGAACGATCGTGGCCCAGTAAGCAGTGCCATAGTCTGGGAGAAGAACTTCGTTGCCAACCTGCATTATCGACACACACCGTGCACATCACACAGGTACAACCAAATGTCATGTCATGTCATGTCCCACATTCGTCAGCAGTCCCACGTTTTTCCACATGTCCCACATTCGGCAGCAGTCCCACGTTCCACATGTCCCACATTYAGCAGCAGTCCCACGTTCCACATGTCCCACATTCGGCAGCAGTCCMACGTTCCACATGTCCCACATTCGTCATCAGTCCCACGTTTTTCCACATGTCCCACATTCGGCAGCAGTCCCACGTTCCACGTGTCCCACATTCGGCAGTAGTCCCACGTTCCACATGTCCTACATTCGGCAGCAGTCCCAGTTCCACATGTCCCACATCGCAGAGGTACTCTTTTTCCCCCAGCCTATAGCTGGCATTATCGACACATTGTCCACATGTCACACACTCACAAAACATCTCATGTTGTGTCACACATATTGGCAGAAGTCACGTCCCACATGTCCCACATTCAAATATGTCACTTGTGACACAGAACAAATGCATACATAGTACATGCCACTGTTTACTGGCTCCACCACTCAACAAATGTGCAAAATGAGGATGAATCCTCCACAAGAACATGGAAAGATACACGGTCATGACTTCTGTATTTTGTGCTTGTGCTGGGCAGCGCGGTGAGGCCCTCTGTCCCAGTTTCACCGAAAGAGGAGGGGGGGGGAAGGGAGGAGGTCTTCAGCAAGTACGCTGGTACTCTTGTTTGTTTGTTTGGGCCTCCCCGCACTACTCGAAAAATCGTGTAAATTTTCGAGAGTTATCGGACGACTGTTTTTTTTTCCTTTTTTTTTTTTTTGTTTTCCCCAAAGCTGCCTTCTCCTCATTGGGGGACAGTAATGGAACATATCTTTCTTTCGCTGCCTACCTAACACTACTCCTTAGGCTATACAGGGGACCCCTGCAAGCAATTCAATTTTCTGTCGAATTGGTTGGTTTTTTTTTTTTTTTCCCAAAAGGGCGACGGCCTTAAGATATCATCATCGACCTGACCGGCCCAGGGCAATTCAAGAAGGAAAAGAAAAAGGGGATAAGAGGAGGAAAAGAGGAGGTAGGGGGGATAAAAAAATAAAAGAATGCTTTTGTTCTGTTCATCTGAGAGTATTTGGATTCGAAGTTGAGTCTGTATTTCAACAGTTCATGGGTTTACCAACGGGATCAAGAGATCTCTCGAAAGACCAAAGAACTAAAAACAAAAAAAAATCCACCCGAGGACGACCGAGGAACTCACAACGATCGTCGAGACGTTGATTGATTTTTTTATTTTTATTTTTGGGGGGGGGGAGAACGTTGACTGATTTATCCAGGAGGGAAAAGGGGAAAACGAAAGAAGAAAGAGGGGGAAAAGAAAAAAGGAACTATGACAAGCATTGGGCCAGATCGGTTTCGAACACGCCCCTCAATCCAGAAAAAGTAGCAAAAAGAGGGGTCAATCCAGAACAAGTAACAACAAAAGGGGGTCAATCCAGAACAAGTAACAACAAAAGGGGGTCAATCCAGAACAAGTAACAACAAAAGGGGGTCAGTCCAGAACAAGTCACAAAAAAAGGGGGTCAATGCAGAACAAGTATAAAAAACCGGGGATCAATCCAGACCAAGTAACAAAAAGGGGAGTCAATCCAGAACAAGTAACAAAAAAGGGGAGTCCATCCAGAACAAGCATAAAAAAACGGGGATAAATCCAGAACAAGTAAACAAAAAGGGAAGGGGATCCAGCGGCCTAGCTCAGTTGGTAAGGCTCGCAAGTGGCATTCAGGAGGTCATGGGTTCAATCCCCACTCATGCCTTCCTGGGCTTACTTGGCACCCGCTACCCAAGAGATAGACCACTGGATCCCCCGATCGGGATCAAGCAGAGTCTGCTATGTTCGTAGGGGAGGGGCCTGAGGGGAGGCACGGGGGATTGGTCCGCTTTATCCCTGGTGCTACCGGCCGTCCCCTGGCCGGTATCCTGCAGGCTCGAGGGGCCGTAAAAACACGGCTCTGGTATGCTACGGGTTTCCCCGTATGCCTATAGGTAGGAGTAGTGGTAGGTAGGTAGTGTGAGGAAAAATTGAGAGAAGAGTATAGTTTTAATAAAAAAAAAAAAATAAAAAAAAAAGGGAAGGGGGGTGTGAGGTCAATCCAGAACAAGTAACAACGGGAGGGGTCAATCCAGAACAAGTAACAAAGAAGGGGGGTCAATTTCGAACAAATAACCAAAAAGGGGGTGGGGGAGGTAGAGCGCGAAAGAGAGAGAGGCAGAATCAAAACGAAGGGAGAAGAGAGAGAGAGAGAGAGAGAGAGAGAGAGAGAGAAACGTAGGATAACTGACAAAGGGCCTCGCTCCACTTCTCACCACATCCACAAAAGACAAAAAATGGCGGATATATATATATATATATATATATTTATTTTATTTTTATTTTTTTTGCAACCGGATATGTATTTTCCCAGTGTTGTAGCTCAAGATTCATTCTCCATTTCCACATTTGGTGAGTAGTGGATCGAGGCCCAAGAGGGACGCCCGAGGAACTTACCGCGATGGTGGAGATGTTGACTGATAGATCGAGACGGGCTTTGACCTTGGTCTGAACGAAGTCCCGAGATGCGTTGTAGTCGGAGGCAAGCGTAGCAATCTGCGAGGAGCTGACAGGGATCACTACATCGATTCCAGTCCCTGCAAGTGCGTCGATGAACGCCACGCCCGCGGGAGTGTCCACGAAGTCGCCGAACAATTTGACAGAAACAGCGCTGATTTTCTTCAAGATGGCGACCGTCTCACTCGCGTTGATCTGCGTCGTGCTGTAGCCGAATCCGATGTTGACGCCAACTCCTTTCGATGTCGCCGGAGTTGTTGAGAGTGATGCTGGAGGTGTTGGCGATGGCGGACTTGTCGATGACCTTGTAGGTGTGGCTACCGGAGGGGTCGAAAGTGGCGATGCTGGAGTTGTGGGTACCGTGGGGGTGGTTGATGGTGATGTTGTGGGGATTGTCGATGGTGATGGAGTTGACGATAGCGATGCTGGAGCTGTTGGTATTGTAGGAGTCGCCGAGAGTGATGCTGGAGCCGTTTGAGAGGGGGAGGAGGACAAGATGGAGTCGTTAGCCGCGACGGAAGCGACCGAAGCTGCGCTGGGATCTGTAATCTGAGCAGAGGCTAACAGGACGGCACCACTCCCATTGCCCCCATAACCGACATCGCCGCCATGATTTGAGAGAAAGAACAGAAGACAAAACCACGCCCACAGAGCAGCGTGTCTGCTAGTATCCATTCTCGTTGTCCTCCTTGCTTCCATAGCTGATGATCCACCGCTATTCGACTTCTTTTCCCTTCCTGAGAACCGCGATAATCAACTGAATTCACCTGCAGCGCAGGAAGGGGGAGGACGGGGAGAAAGGGGGAGAGGACGAGGGGGGAAAGGGGGCGGGAGAAGAGGAGGAAAAGGA